AAAAAAAAAAAAAACAGTAACTGTAAAACAAATAATTTGATAATTTGAAGCACAGCAAATTTTCAAATAATTCTGACATTTCAAAAGCAGTTTTTTTTTTTAATTACAACATTGGCTGCAATTTTTATGCAAAATACTGTTGCTATCACCAGCTTGAAGCTAAGTTCTTGTTTCTTTTACGACGATGAAGGAGAAGAACAAGCCACAAAAATGTAGCTCAGTACAGCGTAAGAATAAACGTTGATTTTGAAAGTTCAAATAATTCAACAGTAATTTAAATATGATAGTTACAGAGCAAATGAATGATGACATCCAGAAAAAAGTATTTAGAAGTTGGAAACCAATAACAGCCGTAAAAAAAAAAACAATCAACAACTGAAAACTTTCCTCCAGATTTCTTACTTTACGAGCAGTAGTCGCCTAAAAACTATGGTTCTAGGAGGTACAATAACTGACTATCAACTAGAGTAGGTTTGAACCAAAGAAATTAAGCTTGTCACAGGTTTGCCAATTCACTAAAACAGCCTTTTTGCTAATACCACATGACTAGTAGTTTTTTTATGGCAAAAACATATAGCATACTGTATGGTATTCACCTTAGTAGTTGTTTTTAATAGAGGGAGAGGTTCACTGTTATTTGTTTCTGAATAACCCGTATTATTGTCACCCTTCAATGTTGATTGAAGCTTCACTAAAGTGGTATTTCATGCAAATTGAGTTCTGTTTCCCAAAAGATCGAAATAATTGGTAGCCGTGAGACACTGATGTTTCAGAACTGTGACAAACGTAGTTATAAGAAGATAAATCTTCTTATAACTAAATAAAAAATTTTTATCTCTGCAAAACTGTATAACTTGGATTCCGTGAACTTTCAACTATTTTTCAAAATATTGTGGGAAAATCGTTTGTTTAGTGAGAATTTGTCACATTACAAATCTTCAAACACACTAAACTCTACCTTGTTTTTTATTTAGGTAAAAGACGTCAAATAATTTTCAACTTTCTAAATCCATAAATGCTTATCAAAACACTAGTAGCTTTGCAAAACTTTTACTGTTTGCTGTACTCTAAGCATGACTCAAGTTATAACGTGACCAACATGGGAAAAGTTCAAACCGTCTATTACTGTAGAAGCCAAGTTCCAACTCATCACCAAACCAATGTTTTTAAAACCAACGAATAACTGCTCTAACCAATAGAAACATAAAAGCCGCAGTATTGAACTATAAAACCTAACTACAGTTCTTGTTCCGCTGCGTCGTTCGAGCGATCAGTTTGCCTAGGAAACACCATTGACAATGGGTGGTCGCTCAAAGCAAGAATTAGGTTCTAGCTACTGCTTAGTTGTAGCTATATTTTTGTTCCTTCAAATTCTTTCAAATCATAAATTTCAGACAGAGGTTAAAGCTGATAGGCCGGCTAGAGGAAACATTAATTTTTGAAAACTTTAAAGAATGGAGTCTAAAGTTAGTGGGAAGAATTCACATTCTGCTTGATAGTCTGTGATCTACTTACACTCTTTGAAGGAATTTTTTTAACGTTGTTTCTGTACAGCCAAATAGTTCCCGGTGTCTGTGTGACAATTTTCATGATCTTTTAGAAACGTCTTCGGGAATGGTCAACTTCAACAACATCGTCACACTTGTGAAGATCACGACACTGAACGGCTGTTAAATTTGTAGCGGATTAACGGTTTATCATTAGATATTAGCAGAAATTAGAAAAATGACGACGATTTCAATTCTGTTACATGAGTTTTTTTCTCAAACGATGTTCCTTGATACTGCCACAACGTCAGGCAGTATTCAACAGGCTGCATTAGTAATTCTGAGTTTAAGTCAGAAACGTATACTTTCAGATATATATGAACAGTAAAGGTAAACACCCGATTATCTTTGCACTTCTCGCTGTTTCTGCGTAGATCACCCCAGCACCTACCGATGATTTT